AATCTTGTCGACTCTGTCTAATTTCTGACATAGGATTGGGTTCGTAGGAGGTTTTTTGCCTTTACTAGCAGATTTTCTTGATATAGACGTTGAAGGCCTAATATGAATGTATAAAATAAATACCCTGGTCGTTACGACCGTGTATTTATTTGATAGTTCGAGACGTATTGATTCCTCCCTCATAGAAGTATTGGGCTCGAACTTAAGTTCATTTTTTTACCCGCGTAGCATTCTCAGACATCACGTGTGTAAATACAACACGCTCGTCGGGGCCCATACGGGTGTATATTCTTACATGTATATAGGTTAATATGCTTGAATTTGTATTTTCATATTTGTATGTATACCTGTTGCAGTGTATGTATAAGGGCATTTTAAAAATATTTGGCGTTGATCAGCTGTGCGAATGATAAACATTTGGGTGTGCACAATCCTCTATGTAGAAGCCCGTAAACACCTTATATCTGTTTGTATGAATATTGCAGATTCGGTAGCGTTGTGTCACACTATGGGTTGTTTGCTGCTTTAGTCAGGTAGGCTTCATACACTAACGAATCTCCTGCTATTGCTTGCATATGTTGATATATGCTGCTGTTTTTTTGTATTTGCTCATAGATAACACTTTGTGTATGTGATAGGTCTCTTAGAGTGACTCGTAGGAGCTTGTATATCATAGTCCTTTTGCATAATTGTAGGGTGCTGAGCGTATTTGTTTATAAATCGAGGTTTATTGTTTAGGGGTGGCCCGGACCATCCTAGCTGGTCGATCCAGCAAGAGCCGAACTAGCCCAAGGGGTTTGGCGGAACCAGGGGTGGAACCAAGGGGAATTTCAGCCCCCCTTGTGGGGCCTAGGAAAGTTGTAATTCATTATGTAAGGAGGAGAAATCAAGGGGGAGATGTTTATGAAGGTTTTAACTTGTTTATGAAAGGTCTAATTGTATTTATTGTGTATTAGGGCTCTTTAAGAGGAAGTGTCGACTAAGATTAGTATCTTTTGTCTGTTGAATTTTATTTCTAGGGTGTGTCCTAGAATACTAGCGGCGGCTAGGGTTTGTGGGAGAGATGATTTACTTCTCGAATAGTAGATCAATTGCATATTGCATTATTATTGAAGGAGATAAAAATCAGCCCCTATCTTCGTGTTCCTGCATTTTTCTTATCATCTACTTGTTTTTTACTTCTAAGACACATCAAATACACCCCATAAAGAAAAAATGCAATCAAATAATTGGGTTCTGCCATAATACATTTCATCCTAAATCTATATATAAATGAATTTGATACTTTGGGTTTTCATGCATTATCTTCCTGAGTGATCTGGATAATACATGAAGTCATATTTGCATAAGCATATTTTTTATGTATGTATAAATATTATTGTGCTACTATCAATTGAATATGTTCAAACAATGTCATGCTTGTATTTGGCTCAAGTAAATGAGATTGGAAAAACAAACTGAAATCACGCAAATTATCGAGCCTAAAACTAACGAACACAAACAATGATCTATTTGGATAGCCCTAATTGTACTAGTTTCCATGGTGGTTTTTAATTGTTCAAGATAACAAGTATGCTATTTTAAGCATTTACATCGAAATAACAACATGAACAAAAATCTTTCCTAGATAATTTGTATTCCAATCTTGAGCCTATGAAAATATTTTCCCCTTCCTTACTATTGTTATTAGCCGACCTCACGTAGTGAGATAAAGGCTTGATGTTGTTGTTGTTGTTACTACTGTCTTGAGGTACGCCCTTAAGATTATTTTGTGAGGCAATACACCTGAAATTGTGTGACAAGTGCAGTAAAGCACACCTCACCTCAATCTTTGTGAGGCAAGAGCATCAAAGTATTGAAGATTTAGGTATTTAAAAATAATCCCTTTTACCATTAACCCACCAAGCCCTTTTGATGTGAAACTACTAGGAGTTACGATCGAAATTAAATAGAGAATTGTTAAAGTTTGCTTTTATAAGTTTATGTGGATCATGCAAGATAGATTTAAGAATTAGAAACGTGAACTTTGCTTAGGCCAAAGAGATGCACTTGAGATTACTGAGGCAACGGAAGGGGCTGGTGGCCGCTGTTTCTCATGTATATGATTGCCGGAGTGAGGTTATTTTCCCTCCGAGCATTCTCCTTCCTCGCTTAAAGCTTCATGGCTAGAAATCCTAACCTAATTCAAAGAATTAATTTTAGCTTCTTCATATCTGACGATTTTTAACTATACATAATTTAGTATGAAAATTGACTTTGACTAAACTTGAAATTAACTGAAGTCTGTTTAATATATTATGTTTGGCAATTTTAAAGGAGAAGAAACCCAGGCTGTTAGTTAACAAATAGGATTTAATAAATATTGTAAATGCAGATATGTAATCTGGGAGGCGTTAATTTCTGAAAACTGCTTGACATGATAAATTTTAAATATGGCTAACTCTTATTAAATTGCTTGCAGAAATTTTTAAAATTCAAGATTTGATAGAAGAGAATAATAGCATATAGAGAAGTCATGTAATTCTTAAAAACCATACATATATCCATGGTTAGACCTACGTGGGAAAATAAAGTTTAAGAATGCAGTGCGAATTATTGTGGCTTGAAAAGTGGGATTTAAATCATAAACTTTCCATAGCAGTGGAATTTATGAGCCTTAAAACACTATTTTGTAAGATTCATCCTACTCCCGGCATAAATATTAGGATAATCTGCAATCACATCCTCTAAATTTTCTAATTAAAACTTTAAACTTATTTTGAATCAGGTTTTCCTACTTCAAAATTTGGAGTAAAAGGTGAGATTCTAATTTGATTATTAATTAATGTAGAATCATATAGGTGTTGAGTCAAACTTTGTGCCTAGAAAGGTGATATTTCTCAGGAATATGACATCATGAATGTTGAATCTCAAATAACCCCCTAACTCAAGCCAAATCCGTACCTTAGCATGAAACCCGTGAATTTCATCTTTGTATTAGCTTTGAGCAACATATGTTCCTCCTTAACCTTAGCTATTTATTACATTTATTTTTGTTGATTTTCTGATTCCTATAATGGCTTAGTGGTTGGGACATTCATTGTCTGTTGAGCTTGCTTGCTAAATTGCTTGAACGTCTTGAGTAAGATGAATGAAATTAACTGGTAAGTCTTTGTGTGACATTCCGCGATATAATCTCGATGAGTGCAATTCGAACTCCAACAATCTCAAGGTCTAAGGAGTAACATCCGGATGATGATAGAATGGGATTTTCTAGGATATTGATAGTTTCACTATACCTATTTATTATTTTAGTGTATAATCTCTAGGACGTTATTCAACACATGAAATAAAAAGTAGACAAAATAAAGTAATAGGTGATAGTGATCGTCGGAAGACAGCACCTGCAAAGAAGGATTTTTTCCCAATCCAGGGAAGAAGAAGAAGAAAGCTTCAAAAGCTTCAAAGATAAAATATATCATTCAATGACCTCCCATCCTTACAATAGCCAACTATTTAAGAGGAAAATAGAACTATCTGACTAAAGAATGTAAAAAACTAATCCCTAAGCATAATATAAGCTAAGATTTCCTACATCATTCTCCCCTTGCGTAAAAAAAAGGCTCGACTCCGTCGAGACTCATTATGAAAGAGAGGTTGTTGCAGAAGACAGATTCCCGGATCGAAGATTTTGTTTCTCAATATTTCGAGAATTAGCAACTTTTCTCTCCATTGAAGCCTCGGGTACAACAGATGCAAACTTTGCCATATTTGCAATTGAATGCTGCCCAGTAGCACTGAGCAGAGCCCCCCATGTTTCTGAATGGGGCCATCCGGATGGAGTTGATCAAGTTCAATGCCTCTTGCAGGAGATTCAGCACGGCCAAACAGATCAACCATGCAGGTGTAGTGATCAGGCCCCGGTTCAATGCCATGAACAGACCTCATAGAAATTTAAGTAATGATTCCCTTCTTCAACTTTGTACAGTAGCCATATATGAGAGAAACTGAGGGTGAGGCCATCTGTGTCCAAGGAGCACCCAGCCAAATCTTTGAATAGTTTTATGCCTTCCTCTAAAAGACCAAATCTGCAATATCCGTTTATGAGGGAGTTGAAAATGCATATATAGAGAGATTGCCTAATAATAGCCATTTTCTTCCATGCAAATGCTTTGCATCTTGAAGGGACCCTTCTCTAGATAAAAGCACAGTCTTTGCTTGAGAACTTCTCATGGTTCAACATATGTAGCCTCATTTGGTAAGTTATTGAAGATATAAGATAAATTACATATGTATATCCACTTGGGGAAGTCAGAACTGATCCATGGTTACCTCGCTATAGCTCCCATTATCAAACAGATATGTCCCATACCTTATATGTATAAGAGCTCTTTGCTGCTCAAAGGCATAGAATCCTTCTCGCGTGGAGTAGCTTACACAAAGCCTAAATTGCCCCCCGAAATTCCCAGATGCTGCTCAACTGTACATCTGGGCACCAACAGGACAGGCAAGAGACCATAAATTGAACTTCCTACTTGCAGCAATCCACAGTTATTACTTTGTTGAAGGGAGATGAACATCCCTGAGAACAATTGTCTGAACAAAGGATACGGAGACATAAAGACAGCGATTATTCTCAACCATGCCTAGGTAGGCGAGCTAATCTATATGGCTTGTGGATGAAATAGATCTGGGCCTCAGACCTAACATATCCTGCCATCTTGTAGAAGTTTTCCATTTTGGTCAACAAAAAACTTCAAGCGTCATCCTTTCCTAAGATAAGCTCCCCAGAGGGAAGAAGGAACAACTTTTAATGGAATGCTGTCTTCCAGCAAGAGAATACTACTTTGACGTTGGCTCCAGCTCATGTACTGTTTCAGTATTATGTATTCCTTCCCAATCCCCAAGCAAATGTTTTTCACCAACACCATTGCCATAGACTGTCAACCTGATCGGATACACCAAACTCCTTAACCTTCACAAATTCATGACCACCATCCAGTATATAGATCCTGACCCTTTTATGCTACCATGCAGAGCAATCCCCTCGATCTCCCAGCTGTAACATTAGCGCCTCGTAACTTGGCTATGGCGACAACTGTCTCCAGTTGGGGAGCCGGTGGATGCGATGCACTAGAAGAGGGACACAGAAGGTAGCGTGAGCGCACACCTCCATCGTCACCGGCGGCACGTTCCAGAACCCCGACATCGCCCCTCTCCAGCGCGTATGGCTCCCGTTTGATATCCGAATCAGATGGCTGAAGCCCCTCATCGCCCGGCTGCTGGGGAAGAAGCGATCGAAAGACGGAAGTCGGTGCAAAGATTTGAAGCGAGCCATCAGAGCAACTAAGAGGATCTTAGAACCGTATGTTGCAAGCTCTCGACCTTAGCGTTGCAGCCCTTTACAAAGCTCCACCAGTAGTAAGCGCTATGCCCTCCGTCTTAGCGCCATGTCTGGAACCCTATCAGTTGAAATGCTTGTAGCTGGGCATGCGATCTTCATTCTTGATGTAGTTGATCGTTGTGATCCGGTGTCTGATCCCAAATGCCCGGCGTTGAA